GGAGTCTGTTTTGTGTCAGGCAGGTTTTAATAGGATCACTGTGAGAGACATGGGGCTGTCTGTCAGTCTAACTTCATTAACTGATGATAGATAACCTGTGTGTGTTGGGGGGGGGGGGCTTCCTGTTTGTGGGTCTCTGGTGTAATTTATAGTCCTCAATTGGAGGCCTTATCAGGTGCTGGACACATGGAGGCCTCTTCCTCTCCTCCCTTTTCCTGAACTTCTACTTTTCTCACATTTTTTCCTCTCATTCGTCTCTGCAGCCCAAAGGTTTCATTACTGAATGATTTCCACTAATGGATGGATGGATGGAGGATGGATGGATGGATGGATGGATGGATGGATGGAGGATGGATGGATGATGGATGGATGATGGATGGATGGATGGATGGATGATGGATGGATGGATGGATGATGGATGGATGGATGGATGATGGATGGATGGATGATGGATGATGGATGGAGGATGGATGGATGGATGGATGGAGGATGGATGGATGGATGGATGATGGATGATGGATGGATGGAGGATGGATGGATGGATGGATGGATGGATGGATGGAGGATGGATGGATGATGGATGGATGATGGATGGATGGATGGATGGATGGATGGATGATGGATGGATGATAGATGATGGATGGATGGAGGATGGATGGATGATAGATGATGGATGGATGGATGATGGATGGATGATAGATGATGGATGGATGATGGATGGATGGATGGATGGATGGATGATGGATGGATGGATGGATGGATGGATGGATGATGGATGGATGATAGATGATGGATGGATGGAGGATGGATGGATGATGGATGGATGGATGGAGGATGGATGGATGGATGGATGGATGATGGATGGAGGATGGATGGATGGATGGATGATGGATGGATGGATGGATGGATGGATGGATGGATGGATGGAGGATGGATGGATGGATGGATGGATGATGGATGGATGGATGGATGATGGATGGATGGATGATGGATGGATGGAGGATGGATGATGGATGGATGGAGGATGGATGGATGGAGGATGGATGGATGGAGGATGGATGGATGATGGATGATGGATGGATGGATGGATGATGGATGGATGGATGGATGGATGATGGATGGATGATGGATGATGGATGGATGGATGGATGATGGATGGATGGATGGATGGATGATGGATGGATGGATGATGGATGGATGATGGATGGATGGAGGATGGATGGATGATGGATGGATGGATGATGGATGGATGATGGATGATGGATGGATGGATGATGGATGGATGATGGATGATGGATGGATGGATGGAGGATGGATGGATGATGGATGGATGGATGATGGATGGATGATGGATGGATGGATGATGGATGGATGGAGGATGGATGGATGATGGATGGATGGATGATGGATGGATGGATGATGGATGGATGATGGATGGATGGATGGATGATGAGCAGTTATCTTCTGGAACCACTGAGCTCCATCTCCTCCGTATTTAGCTTCTGGATTATCTCCACTAACCCTCCTAATTCCCATCCGCTCCTCTCTGTCAGTGAAAGAAATTCCAGATCTGGTTTTTGTTTTCTCTCCATCCATCAGGTGCTTTTCTTCTGTTCAGTTTAGCTTATCTCTAAATCCAATTCATGGCCTTTGGTTCAGATCCTGAGCTTCTTTTCTTTAATTGGGCTGGATTGTCTTCAGCTGAAGCGGAACGCTCTGTAGCCCAGAGCTTCTTCTCTCATGGTGGGATCTTCTGGCTCTGGACCAGTTTGCATTTATTGAAGCGGTTTATTCCTACAGACACAGAGATGAGCTGATGCTCTGAATGAATCCTCAGAGTCTGAGCTGCTGCAACCAGACAGATTTATATCCCTGGGAAAGGATGCAGCAGGTCCTGATGTTCATTCTGCTGCAGCTCTGATCTCTGATGGAGGGAGAACATTCCCACTCAGAGGTTCTCCTGAATGAGTTCCCAGAGCCCTCGGTTCTAACGAGGGGCCATCAGCCTGTAATGACCCCCCCACTCCATCGGGATAAAATCAAACATTGAAACTCAGTCGGCCGTCATAAGGTGGTCGTGGGTAAATCGCTCAGTGGGCAAACAAGGATTCTTCTTCTTCCTCTCAGCTGTAAACCCAGCAGCATGGCGGGGGGGCAATGAGTGAAATGGAGTTCTTTCTGTCAAACTGTCAGACCGTAGTAGCCACGTTAGCTCAGCCATGTCTTTGTCCAAATACGTCGTCTCCTTTTCTTTTTAGGGCTTTCAGCACTAAATTGCCCAAATATCCAAGGCAGCTCGTTTCACTCTAGTGAGCTTCATGTTCCTCTGCTACTGGTTTGGCTTCCAGATAGACGAGTCCGAGTAGCGCCATCTCACTGCGGAGCTGAGTCCCACCTAACGCCCAATCTCTGACACTCTGTGGGAGAAACACAGGTAGTGACCACGATCATCTGACAGAAGATGATGATCTCAGTGAGTCACTTACCTGGTTCAACAGTCCAGTCCATCTCCCTGGAAAGGGGCGTGATCCAGCCGCTGGACTGAAGACAGACGCGGCACGCATCACTGAGAGTCCCTGATGCAGCAGTCCCAGAGGACTAGCAGGAAGACCATCCTGGACAGGGATGCAAAACAGGCAGGATCCAGGCATCCTAGAGCTCCCAGGCAGGTTCAGAGTCTGAAAGAGTCCAGAAGCGTGACCAGGCGTGACCACAGGAGCAGACGGGATCAGGAGCAGGTAGGATCAGGTGCAGACGGGATCAGGAGCAGACAGGATCAGGAGCAGACGGGATCAGGTGCAGACGGGATCAGGAGCAGACGGGATCAGGAGCAGGTAGGATCAGGTGCAGACGGGATCAGGAGCAGACGAGATCAGGAGCAGACGGGATCAGGTGCAGACGGGATCAGGTGCAGACGGGATCAGGAGCAGGTAGGATCAGGTGCAGACGGGATCAGGAGCAGATAGGATCAGGTGCAGATAGGATCAGGTGCAGACGGGATCAGGAGCAGACAGGATCAGGTGCAGACGGGATCAGGAGCAGATAGGATCAGGTGCAGACGGGATCAGGAGCAGGTAGGATCAGGTGCAGACGGGATCAGGTGCAGACGAGATCAGGAGCAGACGGGATCAGGAGCAGACAGGATCAGGTGCAGACGGGATCAGGAGCAGGTAGGATCAGGTGCAGACGGGATCAGGTGCAGATAGGATCAGGTGCAGACGGGATCAGGAGCAGACAGGATCAGGAGCAGACGGGATCAGGAGCAGACGGGATCAGGTGCAGACGGGATCAGGAGCAGATAGGATCAGGAGCAGGTAGGATCAGGTGCAGACGGGATCAGGTGCAGACGGGATCAGGAGCAGACGGGATCAGGAGCAGACGGGATCAGGAGCAGACGGGATCAGGAGCAGGTAGGATCAGGTGCAGACGGGATCAGGTGCAGATGGGATCAGGTGCAGACCGGATCAGGAGCAGACGGGATCAGGAGCAGATAGGATCAGGTGCAGACGGGATCAGGAGCAGACGGGATCAGGAGCAGATGGGATCAGGAGCAGACGGGATCAGGTGCAGACGGGATCAGGAGCAGACGGGATCAGGAGCAGACGGGATCAGGTGCAGACGGGATCAGGAGCAGGTAGGATCAGGTGCAGACGGGATCAGGAGCAGATGGGATCAGGAGCAGACGGGATCAGGTGCAGACGGGATCAGGAGCAGACGGGATCAGGAGCAGACGGGATCAGGAGCAGATAGGATCAGGTGCAGACGGGATCAGGAGCAGATAGGATCAGGTGCAGACGGGATCAGGTGCAGACGGGATCAGGAGCAGACGGGATCAGGAGCAGACGGGATCAGGAGCAGACGGGATCAGGAGCAGATGGGATCAGGAGCAGATGGGATCAGGTGCAGACGGGATCAGGTGCAGATAGGATCAGGAGCAGACGGGATCAGGTGCAGACGGGATCAGGAGCAGACGGGATCAGGAGCAGACGGGATCAGGAGCAGACGGGATCAGGAGCAGACGGGATCAGGAGCAGGTAGGATCAGGTGCAGACGGGATCAGGAGCAGGTAGGATCAGGTGCAGACGGGATCAGGTGCAGACGGGATCAGGAGCAGACGGGATCAGGAGCAGACGGGATCAGGAGCAGACGGGATCAGGTGCAGACGGGATCAGGAGCAGGTAGGATCAGGTGCAGACGGGATCAGGAGCAGACGGGATCAGGAGCAGACGGGATCAGGAGCAGACAGGATCAGGTGCAGACGGGATCAGGAGCAGATAGGATCAGGAGCAGACGGGATCAGGTGCAGACGGGCAGGCTCAGTGGCAGAGGGTAGCAGAGACAGGACGTGGAACCAGAACTTGATGCAGGAACTTTAAACTGGTGTCCACCTTGGAGCCAGGCTTACTGGGATAAAAACTGATCCTCCCCACATAGAGAGCCAAAAACCCAGAGGACTCAGTAGGGGAGGAACAGCGGACGATCAGGAGACGAGACAGACACAAAACCGTCTGTCCACTGGCCGCCAGTATCCAGGACATGAACCTTAGAATAAACAGAACTGAACAGAAAATAACATCTAATGATCTGGCCCTGATAGCTGGAACTGAGGCCAGTATAAGGGCAGCTGGCAGGTGGATGAGATGAGTGATGATTAGGAGGTGGAGAGAGTGAAGCAGGTGAAAGGCAAGATTAACTAGGCCAGCTAAAAAGACTAAAGCCTTCAAAGCTTTTCACTCCTAAAAGGATTTTAGTTTCTGTTCATTTTTAGATTCTTCCTGAAAACCTGAGAGTGATCAAACCGTCGGCTGTTCTGAATCCGGACGCTTTGCTGCGGCTTTCTGACGAATCCATTGAAGTATTGATCTGTTCTTCTTTCTGTGGATGTGAGGCTCTGATGGCGGTTCTGGCTTCGCTATCCGCCCAGCGCTTTACTTTTATAGGCCGGTCCAGGAAGTTCAGCTGCGTCTGAAGCTAAAGTCTGTTCATCTTTTCTCACGCAGGTATGGAGGACAGAGCAAACGCAGCATCGTGGGCCGCTGGAAGTCGATCCTCTAAGGTACTTTTTGATGCTTTTGGAGGAAACGTTTTCAGTCCTTTAGCTGAAGTCGCTATTATTTATCCAGACTGATTTGGTTTGGACCAGTTAGGATGAGTTTAATGGTATAAAACGTTAAACTTTAGTTTAAGAACCGAGTGAAAGGAAAGAGCTCGGCTGAAATGTGACTCTGTTCCATCTTAGCTCCTCGTTGTTTTAACCCTTTATAGAGCGTTTTATTGGAATCCAGGATAAGACCTTATTACCTTTATAACATTAAAAAATTGGTATTTTGATGGTAAAGATAAATTTCAATGTAACAACAAGAAACGCCAAATTACCTGGAAATATTTGGAAAAATAACCAAAGTTCTTCTATAAGAAATTAATTAAAAAGAAACACATTTTTTGGTCCTTAGATCAGGAATCTTCAAGGTTTTCCAGGCCAAAGACCCCAAACTGATGGTCAGATGGAGCGGGACCCCCTGATTATAGATATATTCTATTAAATAATGTTCTATCAAACTGGTTCTATAGTCACTCTATTACAGATGGAGTAATGTAACTAAAGTAATCCCTCCCTGGGATTATTAAAGTATTTCTGGTTCCTGGTTGATGGGACAGGTGTTGTGAATGAAACGGTGCCCAGCTTAGACCCCCTGGGGGTCACAGCCCCCCTGTTGAAGAGCTCTGCCTTAGAGGCATTAATGCTGATACTGACACTTAGATTGTTTAGTTTGTAAACCTAAACATAATTGTTAACGAGGCTTATTCACCTTTTCACTTTACTTTTTAACTTTTAATGACCTTTTTACCTTTTTTCCAGCTTCATTTCCAGCAGGTTATCTATCATTCAGGGCTCATCTAGTTGGTCAAATGCTAACATGAGATGAGCAGCCATGTAGCAGCATCTATGCTGAATGGCTGGATATAGATCTTCTGCTTCTAGACCTCACTGAGGGACGGGGGGGCTCCATTTGTAAGGGATGAAAAACACTAACTTGGTTAAAGGGACTTTATGTGACAGAGCAGCATGAAGTAGAGTAGAACTATGGAGAATAGAGCCGCTCCGTCTCACCGTCTGTCTGAGGAATCATGTTAGTTCTGATTAGAAAATATTCAATAAAAATAAAAAGTATCATCTGAGAAAAACAGTTTATTTCAAATACTTTATTGATTTAGATGTTTTTCAAAGTTTCATTTCTGTTAAGTCTCTATTTCCTAAAAACGTGGAGCTGGTAGGCCTGTAGAAGGTCCAGGTGTTCAGATCTATGCTTCTAGAAGCTAACCCAGCTTTAGGTGCTGGTTGTTCTCTGAGGAACCAGATGCTGATGGACGGTTCTACCGCAGGGGCAGGCCACACTTTTCAGATCAGGTTAAACTTCCTGTCTGATGTGATGAAGAGCTGAACCCAACATTCCAGCCTGTGCTCTGCTGTAGCCGTGATGTTTCTATCTGACCTCCTGGTCTCTCCGCAGAGCTTCGCTGACGGATCGCAGTTCATGACGTCACACGACAGCCTCTCGCCGCCGTACTCAAACTCCAGGCTAACAGGTCGGCTCATTTCCACCTTTCTCCTCAGCTTCAGATTGGATGTTTGCGTCTCGCTGGGTGGGGAAACGCCAGCCGGCGTCTGCTCATTTACCCATGATGCTCTCTGCCTCTGGCTCTCCGATGTGGCGCCAGTTGTGAGCAAATGGCCACTGACACAGATAATCCGCCTCGCACTCAGTGAAACATGCAGATATGCTCACAGCTTCATTACCTTTGACTGGATGCATCAGATATGGAGGCGCTCTGACGCCGCCGAGCTCCTGCCTCCTCATTTCCTTCCTTCCTTCCTTCCTTCCTTCCTTCCTTCCTTCCTTCCTTCCTTCCTTCCTTCCTTCCTTCCTTCCTTCCATTTCTTTCCCTTTCCTTCCTTCCTTCCTTCCTTTCCTTCCATTTCTTTCCCTTTCCTTCCTTCCTTCCTTTCCTTCCATTTCTTTCCCTTTCCTTCCTTCCTTCCTTCCTTCCTTCCTTCCTTCCTTCCTCACCCGTCAACCTTCCTTCCTTCCTTCCTTCCTTCCTTCCTTCCTTCCTTCCTTCCTTCCTTCCTTCTTTCCTTCCATTTCTTTCCCTTTCCTTCCTTCCTTCCTTCCTTCCTTCCTTCCTTCCTTCCTTCCTTCCTTCCTTCCTTCCTTCCTTCCTTCCTTCCTTCCTTCCTTCCTTTCCTTCCATTTCTTTCCCTTTCCTTCCTTCCTTCCTTTCCTTCCATTTCTTTCCCTTTCCTTCCTTCCTTCCTTCCTTCCTTCCTTCCTTTCCTTCCATTTCTTTCCCCTTCCTTCCTTCCTTCCTTCCTTCCTTCCTTCCTTCCTTCCTTCCTTCCTTCCTTCCTTCCTTCCTTCCTTCCTTCCTTCCTTCTTTCCTTCCATTTCTTTCCCTTTCCTTCCTTCCTTCCTTCCTTCCTTCCATTTCTTTCCCCTTCCTTCCTTCCTTCCTTCCTTCCTTCCTTCCTTCCTTCCTTCCTTCCTTCCTTCCTTCCTTCCTTCCTTCCATTTCTTTCCCCTTCCTTCCTTCCTTCCTTCCTTCCTTCCTTCCTTCCTTCCTTCCTTCCTTCCTTCCTTCCTTCCTTCCTTCCTTCCTTCCATTTCTTTCCCTTTCCTTCCTTCCTTCCTTTCCTTCCATTTCTTTCCCTTTCCTTCCTTCCTTCCTTCCTTCCTTCCTTTCCTTCCATTTCTTTCCCTTTCCTTCCTTCCTTCCTTCCTTCCTTCCTTCCTTCCTTTCCTTCCATTTCTTTCCCTTTCCTTCCTTCCTTCCTTTCCTTCCATTTCTTTCCCTTTCCTTCCTTCCTTCCTTCCTTCCTTTCCTTCCATTTCTTTCCCTTTCCTTCCTTCCTTCCTTCCTTCCTTCCTTCCTTCCTTCCTTCCTTCCTTCCTTCCATTTCTTTCCCCTTCCTTCCTTCCTTCCTTCCTTCCTTCCTTCCTTCCTTCCTTCCTTCCTTCCTTCCTTCCTTCCTTTCCTTCCATTTCTTTCCCCTTCCTTCCTTCCTTCCTTCCTTCCTTCCTTCCTTCCTTCCTTCCTTCCTTCCTTCCTTTCTTCATTTCTTTCCCTTTCCTTCCTTCCTTCCTTTCCTTCCATTTCTTTCCCTTTCCTTCCTTCCTTCCTTCCTTCCTTCCTTCCTTTCCTTCCATTTCTTTCCCCTTCCTTCCTTCCTTCCTTCCTTCCTTCCTTCCTTCCTTCCTTCCTTCCTTCCTTCCTTCCTTCCTTCCTTCCTTCCTTCTTTCCTTCCATTTCTTTCCCTTTCCTTCCTTCCTTCCTTCCTTCCTTCCTTCCTTTCCTTCCATTTCTTTCCCCTCCCTTCTTCCTTCCTTCCTTCCTTCCTTCCTTCCTTCCTTCCTTCCTTCCTTCCTTCCTTCTTCCTTCCTTCCTTTCCTTCCATTTCTTTCCCTTTCCTTCCTTCCTTCCTTTCCTTCCATTTCTTTCCCCTTTCCTTCCTTCCTTCCTTCCTTCCTTTCCTTCCATTTCTTTCCCTTTCCTTCCTTCCTTCCTTCCTTCCTTCCCTTCTTCCTTCCTTCCTTCCCTTACTATCCTTACCTTCCTTCCTTCCTATTCCTTCCATTTCTTTCCCTTCCTTCCTTCCTTCCATTCCTTCCTTCCATTTCTTACCCCTTTCCTTCCTTCCGTTTCCTTCCTTCTTCCTTCCTTCCTTTCCTTCCTTCCCTTCCTTCCTTCCTTCCTTCCTTCCTTCCTTCCTTCCTTCCTGTCTTTCTTCCTTCCTTCCTTCCTTCCTTCCTCTCCTTCCTTTCCTTCCATTTCCTTTCCCTTTTCTCCTTCCTTCCTTCCTTTCCTTCCATTTTCTTTCCCTTTCCTTCCTTCCTTCCTTCCTTCCTTTCCTTCCATTTCTTTCCCCTTTCCTTCCTTCCTTCCTTCCCTTCCTCCTTCCTTCCTTCCTTCCTTCCTGTCCTTCCTTTTCCTTGTCCATTTTCTTTCCCCTTCCTTCCTTCCTTCCTTCCTTCCTTTCCTTCCTTCCTTCCTTCCTTCCTTCTTCCTTCCTTCCTTCCTTTCCTCCTTT